TCTTTCCCTCTCTGCATACCTGCACGCACACATGCACATACCTAGGAAAGACCATGTGAACACAAAACAATAAGGCAGACCTACTGCAAACCAGGAAGAGAGCTCTTACCAGAAACCAAAATCATGTTGGCACTTTGATCTTGGACTTGTAGTCTCTAGAACTGTGAGAAAATAAATTTCTGTGTTGAAGGCACCTAGTCCATGGTATTTTGTTATGATGGCCTAACCAGGCTAAGACACACATAATTTCTTTTTCCTCTCATGTAAATTCTGTCAGAAATACGACTCCCTTTTTGCTTGGCTAGCTTCTTACTTATTCTTCAGGCTTTAGCTAGCTTAAATATCACTTTGTCAGAGAGACCTTCCCTCTCTCCCTGAACTACATTATGTCCCCCTAGTATATTCTTTATCTTCAAAAAAAACAAAACAAAACAAAAAAAACCAACGGTTTTTATTTGTGTGATCCTTCATGTCCACACTCTATACTAAAAGTTCCACAGGCTAGACTGTGTTATGACTGGCACTTGGCAGGCATTTGATAATAATGAATTATCATAATATATTAATTATTTGTTTTCTTTTGTTTCTTTCCTCAACTATATTAACCTCTTTGCAAGCAAGAGCTAGATTTTATCTTTTGTAGAGTTGTGTAGAATATAAATGTAGGATAAATTTGAAATTCAAAATTTAAACACTACAAAAATTGTAACTAATGGGTTTAATAATTACTTGAATCTATTTCTGGTTCTGAAAGTTTGTGTGTGTATGTGTGTGTGTGTGTGTTGTTATATTTTTGGAAAATAAAGAGTAGTTTAGTTCAGCTACGGCAAAGAATAACTAGAAAGTGAGGTGAGAGAGGAAGTAATAAACTTATAAAGATAGGCTGGAGCTATAATGTGAAGGATTTTGCACGTTGGCTGAGAATTCTGTATTTAAATTTAATAGAGAATACAAAAATTGATTTTATTATGCATGAATAGTAAAGAAAGAGCTTTAAAGAAAAGTACTGACATACAGTAAGATCAATACGTAAATAGTTTTTCAGAAAGAATTTTAATACGGTACTGAATATGAAAGTCTATTTTCATTCTTCCATTCATGCAATTAATTGATTACGTACTGAACATGGCCCAGCACAGGGCCAGGTGCTGGTACTACGGTGGTAAATCAAACAGAGTTGGCCCCTGCACTCTCGGAGCTTACAGTCTCAGAGCTTTAACTTAGGTTACCTTTTATTTCAAATGTTTTCTTGGTCCAATGCCTAATTGTTACTGGTTTTCTTTCCTTGGTTCCCCACTGTTAAGGGCATATGTAGAACTGGAGCTCCTACTTTCTTGGTCAGATTATATAAATCAACTACTCAACAAGTATGGACTTGGGGATGCTTCTCCTTTTACAGAAGGTGTAATATGGATATGTAAGATGTCTTAGTCTGAGGGAGCTTACATCCAAATTGGAGAGATAAAAGTTACATTTAGAAATAATTACAAATCAAGTTAAGGCAGTTACTACAAATGCATTTATTATAAAATTATAAACAAAATGCATTGAGAAAAGAAAGAAATAAAAGCAAACAGTAATGTTCTGGAAAGGCTTAATGAGGAACTGGGATGTGAGCTGGGAAGGATTCAGATGGATGGAGAGGAAAAGGTACTGCCACTGGGGCCGGAGAATGAGCCTCAGTTGAAGGTACTAGAGAATGACCAACAGGGCTCTGCCAGGAGCTGGACACTCTAAGACTTTAACTCTGTGGAACCTCCTTGGACTTTTTATATAAAATGAGAGATTGGATTAGAATCATTTCAAAGGTCTGCTTGAGTTCTATGAGAGTCAGCTTTGTGGAGCTTATCTTGAAGTACTTGCTGAAAAGATGGGAGACTGAGGATCCATAGCAATATGAAGATTCTGCGTAGTCTGGGTGTAAAGGATTTGGGTTAGGGGAAAGATGTTGAGAGACTCCACTTCTCCAAAAATAAGTTTGTATACATTATTAAAAAAACTTAAGTGCAGAAAATCTTCTGGGTTAAAATATTTATAGTCCCCTCCTCTACCTTGTCAACTAGCACAAAACATATTCTAGAAGTACGTGGCCCAAAGAATATTTCCAGAAAAGCAGCTGTAGAAAAAATTCTGAACTTAACAGTAAGAAGTTTTGGTTCAATTTTGGCTCTATCATTTATTAGCTGTGTGGTGTAAGTAAAATCACTTAACTTCTTTGAATTGGAGTTTCTTTCATCATAAAATAGGTCAAGAATACCTATCTCATAGGAATGCTTTAAGGATAAAACAAAAGCACATTTATGAAAGATTTATAAGCTATTGAGTGCTAGATAAATACATTTGTAAATGGGTAAGATAACACTTGAACAAATCAACTGGTACGGTCTTGGGTATTCATCCACGAAACTAAATGCCCACTATGTATAAAGCACGATGGTGAGCCCTGAGGATGGTAAGATAGAGTCTTGGCCTTCACGGAATTCCTATTCTAGCTGGGTTGAAAGATACAAGTCATAATGTATTATATGTAATGTTTTTATGGGAACATTGTATACAGAGTTGATAATAGTTAGAAATTTAAATTTAAAAACAACTTCATGCTTTAATTATTGTGTAAACTGAAATCTTCCTTAAGAATTTAATGTCATTCCTAGAGTATTCAAATTTATATAGAGAGAAAGTAGAATGGGAGTTGCCAGGGGCTGGGGTGGGGGAGGGGGAATGGGAAGTTAGTGTTTAACGGGTAGGGAGTTTCGGTTTGAGAAGATAAAGTTCTGGAGATGGATGGTGGTGATGGTTGCACAAAAATGTGAATGCACTTAATGCCACAAACTGTTCACTTAAAAATAGTTAAAATGGTAAATATTATGTTATGTATATTTTACAACTGAAAAATGACTTAATCACAGCCAATCTTTATACTAGTACTCACGAAGGAGCAATATCCAGATGGTTGATGTTAAATCCAGAAGAACTAAAGCCTCCCAGTGTTGTTGATATGGTCAGGAATGCAACAGCCAAAGAATAATCACAACCTATAAATCCAGCGGCTACCAGAAATACTGCAGGTCCAATCATTCCTTAAGTTAAAAAGTTATAAAAAGAAAAAGAAGCCCCAGCATTAATATTTGCTTGCTCTACCTTAATACAGCATAAATGTGAAACTGGATATTACTGCCACCTACTGTAGAAATGTTGTACTTCATAGAAGACTCTAAGTTCAAATTATGTAGTTTTGTGAAAAAAACTGAAAAATATATAGGCACAATGCAGCTAATATAAAAGTAAAAAAAAATTTTCTTTATGCAATGTCATTAAATCTACATGTGACCAGGGCTCAGCTAAAGTTCTACAATGTTAGAGCAAGAAGAGAATGACTGAAAAATATGGTCCCAGATAGAAGCAATAGTTGCTATGGAGTGTGATTTAAAATTCACATAACCAAAGAAGATAAACTAAATAATAAACTTTGTTGGATAAAGTTATAAAAACACTCCAATTAGGTTTCAATAACTGAAAACAATATGCATAGTTTATTACAGGTAGTTAAGCATAAAATACAAGATAGAAAGGGACTTGATGAGTAGGCTGCCATTTTTTTTGTGTCTACAGCAGTGTTATCCAATAACTCTGTTGTGATGGCAATGTTGTATTTGTATATACTGCAACTGCAACTGAAAAACTTATTTTTAAATTTCAATTAAATTTAAATGGACACACATGGCTAGTGGTTACTGTACTGGACAGAGCAGGTCTACAGGAAGCGAAAATAAAGAAAGGCCTTTTATGAATCTAACGGAATTTACTTTACTTGCAGATGTGGAAAATTTTCTTGAGAGTCGAAGTAAGCAAGCAGTGAAACAGGACAGTACCTTTCAGTGGTAGCTGCTCAGAAGGTGTTGGCAGAATTATCCCGAATAGGGTCCTTTTACAATGTAATTACTGAAGTATCGCCATTAGCAACTTCCAGGGTCTCTACTTACTCTTTAAAGAAATTGAATAATTGTCCTAGATAGTTTTAAATTTTACTTTTCTGAAAGCAGAGTCTGAAACACATGATTATTTAAGGTTCCTTTGAGTACTTTGATTTAGAGCTCCTCATTTCATATAATGATGTTAGTAGATATTTTTGGTTCGAAATTTATAATGTATTCACTTAGAAAAGGAGTGGAGGCTTAAAAATGTTATTTTCATTACAAACTTAGAGCTGAAAAAAAGTGACATAAAATTCTAGGGACTGCTTTTCTTAATGCCATATGATATGATAATATGATAGTGGAGATAAATCTTAATCCTCAAAATGCATAGTTCAAAGAAAGCCATTTTATACAGAAATGCACTACATGCATTAAAACATACTATTTTAATATGTGAGCAAAGTAAATGACTAATGTTATTATTTTTTACTTTGTCTTGCACTGTAGACACAGTAGTAAATAACTGTGAGCCAAAACAAAACCTGATTCACTTCACTTACCGATAAGGCTAAAAACTCTTCGAACACATATAGTTGAAAAATTCCATTTTACCCTCAAATGGTCAGCAGCTTGACCAGACAGGATCATACATAACCAACAGCCGAAATAAGGCACTGCAGATAAAATCCCATTCTGGAAGGAACAAGAAGATACAGGATTAACTATGGTGGGAGGAAGAACCAAAACAACATACCCACACACATCCACCACCACTAAAAAACGAAGGAAATACATGGTAATACACTGTTTTTATATAGTTATAGTAAATAAGTTTGATTTTTAGAAGGATTTTGGGATTCAGTTCAACGCAAGCCCTAAGATCGTGTCTCAGAGGGAAAAAGAGCTCACCATTGTCCAGTCTGCTCAAGGTAATCTTGAATGTTATTTTGGGACCTGGGCTGTAGATTCAGCGAAGAAAGATATCTTCCTATTAGCCTATGGATTTTCCCCACTGGACAATTTCTGACTTCAATTTTCAATTATTTATTTATTTAAAAAATAATTTTTAATTATAAAATAAAACAGATACAGAAAACTACATAAATCAAATGTATAGCTTAATGAATTATTCTAAAGTGAACACCATCTAGGTCAGGTGTTTGGTGCCTTTAGCACGTGCTTTGAGAGGACAAAGGCAAGGAGGTGATAGAGAAACCTCTTTCTTTCCCTCTTCTTTTCCCGTAAATTTACCACTTGAACAAAATGAAAACACCAGGAGATATGAAACCGAAATTTGTTATGGAAATGTTTTATTTGCTTTGTAGGAAATTATTTGATAGCTTTCTAGGAAATCACAAGTTCTGTAAAATGAAAAGTACACACCTGGAAAAAAAGAGAGAAATTTTTTCTATTTGTTTTTTCCTCAGCACAAACCTGAGGTGCCAAGACTAAATGGCCTAATTCTGATAAAAACAAATGTTTTTATAGTCTTAAGAGAGATGGGTATACTTGTTAATGTTTCCAAACACAAAAAAACACAGAAAGATATTTTACCAGTGATATTTACATCTTGCAATAATTCCATTTAAGCATCATTCATGATGCAAACCAGAAAAATCTGTTAATATTTAAAATTTAAGTGTGCTTAAGAAGAGATTTAATTTTTTCATCACAGTTTGTAGTCTATATTTAGACGTTGCATGCTTCCAGTCCTACTTCTGTAGCTGAAGATTTTTGTTTCTTTTTGGTACTAAGCTGTGTAATATCCTCTTTAAATTTTATTCCATTTAGACTTTTGAATAGTGAGATCACTTCTATTGTTACTTATGGCAGAATCCTACACATGAATAAACTGTAGCAAATAGAGAAGTAAATTTTCAAGTCTTGGTCTTACTCCCTGGTGAGATTAGACTGATAATTCATCAAAGTTACTGAAATTTTCCACTTAATGTTCCAATGTTAAAAACTCTCCCAACAACCTAAAACTACTAAAATCTTCAACATTTACTCATTCCATGGGCATTTTCCATAGTTAAGCTTTCTGTTCAAGGATATGATTCCTTATATTCATTTGCTTAAAAAAAGATTCCAAAATATTAATATCCAAAAAAAGGGTAATAGATATTGCCCTCTCACTGAGTCGTAAGCAATGAGGGTGCTAGAATTGGAAAAAACTAGGAAAAAAGAAAAATGAGGATAACTAATGAAACTAAACTTATATGAAAAAGCAAGCTTATAACAAAAGATCATACAAATTAGTAGTTACATACTAGTCATGGGGATGTAAAGTGTAGCATAAGAAATACAGTCAATAATTGTAATAGTTATGAATCGTGTCAGGTGGGTACTAGATTTATTGGGGCGATCATTTTGTAAGTTATATAAATGTCTAATCACTATGTTGTACACTTGAAGCTAATATAATATTGTATGTCAACTATAATTAAAAAATTTAAAAATCATTTAAAAAATCCATTAAAAATATCAAGAGCTTTAAAATAGTAAATTAATGTGAGATTATAATTTTAAATACAATGCTTCTCAAAGCAAGGTTTTGCTTAAGCAAAGGCCATTTCATGAGTGTGATAAATTGATTTTTAAGAAAAAAAATCCATATTAAAAAGAGGCTCTGAGGAGGGTCAAATATATGGTGATAAATGGAAACCAAACTTTTGGTAGTGAACATGCTATATAGCATATGCAGATATCAAATTATAATGTTGTATACCTGAAATATAAAATGTTATTAACCAATGTTACCTCAATAATAAAAGGGGCTTCTATATAACTAGAGAATTATTTTCAAACTCTATTCACATTTTAAAATTTTGATTAAAAAAGAAAATGCTTTTTTTTGTATGAAAATGAAAGATAAATTATTCTTGCTTTAAAGTCCCTCATTATAGAACTTAAAATCTCAAATAGAAATATCAGTTGAATAATCTTTAAATTTGCATGTAATTCATCACTGTAGGAGTAGATTATAGTCAGGCTCTGTTAACAGAGAGTTTAGGAAACACAAGGTTGCTCACAACAAATCTATCCCATGCTATTGTTAAAGCTTCGTTTTAGTTTAACTTCCGTCAATGCCATTCGTGGATATATTTTGGTATATAAGTGATATTGTTTTTCAAAAGTCGGCAGAAGAGTTCTTCACAGCTCAGCTGCCTGAATAAAGTTCAAGGTTTGGTGCATGTGGTCAGTGTTTTCAGTATGCTTTGAAAGACAGGTGACTAAAGATGCACTTTGACAACGTTTAAAGCTGGTAAGTCCAAATAGCCAGTACAGTTGTGCAGTCAGCCTTGTTATCTTTACATTCAGCATCTAAGCTGCTTCTTTACTTCTAGGGTATGGGGGCCCAGGATAGGTCACCCCAAGATATCCCACAATGGGATATTATTTTGAATTAAAATCACTTGAGAAGCAGCAGAGTGGAAGGAGTTCTGACTCTCCTCTGTCTCTCTAAAAGCAAGAAATAAATCTATGTGATTGGTGCCCTTCTTGTTCCAGAGAGTTGAGAGGTATACTTATCACAAAGTTAAAAATCCAGAGTTGAAAAGCCTATATAAGCAAACCTTGAAATGCTTTTACCAATTTACTACCTAAGGCCAAACCTTGCTTAGATTCCTTTCCCACGAGCACTAATTTTCTTTGTCCTGTCAATTTCTCACAAATTTATTGTCTAAAGGTACAAAAATGTGCCTGGTTCAGTCATTTATTTGTCTCATTTTATGATCTGAGTATCACATTGTGATTTTCCCATGTGCACGTTATTAAATTGGTTTTCTTCTTGTTACTCTAGCCTTGTGTCAACTTTATTATTACTCGTCCAGCCATAAGAACTAAAGAGGCATAAAAGGGCAGGCATGCTCCCACTTCTCCAACAGTTTTGGCTAACCAGCCAGGAGACTTCACTGCTGGGAAAAACTGCCTTTTCCTGGGACCATGGCAGCTAAGAGATCCTTGGGGGAAAGTTGACAATGAGAAGATAACAGGTAAGCTTTTGCTTACCTTGTCAGCCTCCCAGATTCTCTATCTGCAGGGTCCCATGGAAAAAAAGGTGATGAGACTTTTATTCTCTCTTTTTAAATTTAGAGTAGCAGGAGAGTTAGAGAGCTCCACCCACTCCTGCTGCTTCTCAAATTATTTTAGTTCAAAATAATCAATATGCCATTGTGGGATATCTTGGGGTGGCCTACCCTGGGCCCCAACAAGGGCTTTCCTTTGCGGCTGATTAATATTCCATTGTATGAATATACCACCTTTTTGTTTATCTATTCACTAGCTGGTGGACATTTGGGTTGTTTCCACTTTTTGGTTGAGTAATGCTGTTATGAACATTCGTGCACGTTTGTGTGGACATATATTTTCCATTCCCTTGGGTACAGATCTTGGATTGGAATTGCGGGGTCATATGATAACTTTATGTTTAACTTTTTGAGGAACTAACAAACTTGTCCACAGTGGCTACACCATTTTCATTCCCACCAGTAATATATGAGGGTTTCATTTCCTCTACATCCTCAACAATATTTGTTATTTTTAAAAAAATTCTAATAGATGTGAAGTATTATCTCATTATAGTTTTGATTCAAATTTCCCTAATGACTAATGATGTTGAGAATTTTTTCATGGGCTTGTTGGCTATTTGTGTATCTTTGGAGAAATGTCTATTCGAATCCTTTGCTCACTTAAAAAAATGGGGTTATTTGTTATTTCATTATTGAGTTGTAAGAATTCTTTATATCTTGTGGGTACTAGATCCTTATCAGATATATGAACTGCACATATTTTCTCCCATTCAGTGGGTTTTCATTCTTGATAGTGTCTTTTGAGACACAAAAGCTTTTAATTTTGATGAAGTCCAATTTATTTTTTTCTTTGGTTAATTGTGCTTTTGGTGTTATATGTAAGAAACTGTTGCCTACTCCAAAGTTACACGGATGTATACTTTCTAAGAGTTTTATTGTTTTAGCTCTTACATTTAGGTCTTCGATCTATCTTTATTTTGAAAGCAAAAATACCATCAATTTTCCTTACAAACTGTGCCTTTTTCTCTTGAGGCTTTTCCTCAAATCTCTTTAAAGGCAAAATCTATCAACATAGAGATAATAGGAACTACCTCGATTTGCTGAATTCAAAAGGAGCTGGCAGTTTCAGGAAGGTCCTTCTATAGCTTTACAATGATAGCTCTTCCAATGCCTAAATGATGCTGCAGAGCAACTTCTGCATAAGAGAGATGTTATACCTCCCAATGTCCCTCTCAGCTGCCATCAGAGTCCCACTAACATCCTTTTTAGAAGTGAATATTGATACTACTTGAATTTGTCATCTGATGTCCTAGCCTGTTACTAGTAGGATTTTACTTAGTAGGACTTTATGGTTAAAGGGTTACCAGCCAAAAGATATCTTGAATCAAGAGTTAACACACATAGAGAAAAGAAAGAACACTGTGAAGCAAAACTAGAATTCAGTATATCAGAGTAAAATGAAAGATACAAAATAACTGAATTTCATATAGATAACAAATTCTATGTGTAGTTTAAAATATGTACTCTATATAAGAAGATAAGAAGCACATGATTATGTTTTCTTACCTTTTGAACACTGAACCTTAGGATCTCCTTCATATAAGTAGGCAATAATGTCAATAAAGTATAAAAAGTCCAGTTGTAAGAAAAATGTGCAGCAACAATAGCCCAAAGTGGCAGAGATTTCAGCATGGGTATCCATGGTACTGATTTTTGTGAAGAAAGCTGAAAAAAACAAGCACAATTAGGATAAACTACAGCTATGTTTATGCTATGTTTAGATCTATATCTTCTTAGCCAAAATTCCATCTAGAACACATTTTCTGCCTTGATTAGTAAATTCTAGATTTTAAACCAACTCTTTTAAAATATTAAACAGTAAGAGAGCCCATTTCAGATTAGAAGAACAACAGAAAAGTAATCTTAGTATAATGTTAACCTCAAACGCTCTTTACGAATGTCAGAAGTCACCTACAGTATTGATTTCACCATCTATAAAATAGAGAATAGTTTCATAATCAAATTCAAAGGTTGGCATAAAGAGAAAGGTGACTGGAAGTCCTATTAGAATTTATATTTCATTATCGAATTTTTATTCAATTACAGTGATTTATATGGACTGTGCAATAGGTTTTTTTATGTAGCTAAATGGAGTAATGTCCTTCAAAGTAGGGTGTAAGCACCTGAGGGGTATGCAAGATGATCTACAGGGGTGTGGAGTGATATATTAGAACTTCTACCTATACTCACTTTTATTCTAAAAAAAGAAATTAATAACTCTATTAATATTTAATAAATAGGTTGGCCCTGGAGTATGCCAGATGTATAAGAAAAACAGCAAAATGGAGTTGATATTGTCAGGAGAGAAATCTAAAATGGAGTCAGGAGGCCTTCAAAAAGCTGAGTTAATATACTCACTTCTTGTGAAACAATTTTTGAACTGGGCTAAACCAAACAGCTATATCCTGATACAGCTCCTGGAACTGGCTCTGTATTACTAAACTATTAAAATATGTATTTTTCACCTCGCAATAGATACAAGCAATTAATTCTGTATAGCATAGTGTAAGTCTGCTTGCCAGCACCAATCACAGTTTTTCAAAGCAATGTGCATAACTCCTTTAGAAGCCCTTCTTTTTCTGTCTTTATAAACGTTGTCCTTTTCTTTCCCCCTTTGAACATAGTCAAGTTTCTACCCAAATCTGTTTCTCCTGGATTTATAGTTACTAAAAATACCATCAAATAAAACTTTTGTTTGCCTTGCAGTTCGGTTAAAATTGATTGACACTGACAAAATCACATATTGTATGATCTCCTCAATACAAAGGGGTTAATAGTGTCCTCACTTATTTGTTTGTTCTCAATGTATTATATATATCTGCCTTTTAAAGTGAATTTATAGATTTTATTAGCCAGTTTCAATTAAAACAAATCTCACAAACTTGACAGTATCTTCAAAAGATTCTTATAAAGAGTCAACAGGAGTCTAATGATGTAAGCACAAGTGAACACTAAGAAAATAGTAGAGCTGTCACTTTTCCTCATATGAGTTCTTTGTCAGCTATCACACCAAGCAAAATAATGGCAGGCTCATCAAGTGCAACATATTCCAACATTGTTCCTATTAAGTCACATTATTATTACTAATTTTAAGTGATAAAAAGATTTTTCCTATTAAAATTTAAATTTATGTATTTACTCTTTCATCTTAGTTAATCCTTTAAAGTCTATTTTTTGTTTTATAATGTATATGTATAATATACATGTAAATAACCTATAAATAAGTAAGTAAATAAATATTCAAATTGTGCATCATTTTATTGATGCACTTTCAAGAGAGCTTGGAGACCACTGGTCTGGGGCATCAGATTATTACATTTCCTATATACCAAGGCTCTATGGCTTCTTTCTCAAAAGCTAGAGCAATCTGTTTCTGCCTTCAGGGTTCACGGTTATTTCAAAATAAGGAAGAACCAGTATTAACCTTCTTGCAGACTTCTTCCTAGGTACTTTTTATTTGACTTGGTGGCTATGCTCTTGTGTTCTCCATTGTGTATCAAAGATGCAAGAGATATAGGGGAAGAAGAGAGAGAACACTTATTCTTATACAGCAGTGGTTCTTAATTTCAGCTATACTTCAGAATCACCTTTGACACTGCAAAATTACAGATGGCTGGGCTCTACCCCAGATGTACTGAATCAAAAACAATACCTTTTGAATGTAGGGCCAAGGCATATATTTTAAAAGGCTTTACTGGTGATTCTATAGAGAAATGGTTCTCAGACTTTCCTGTACATTAGAATCACTCAGGGAGCTTAAAAAACCTGCCAAGATCACACCCCAGATCAATTAAACCAAGTTGGGGATGAGTACAAGGTAAGTGGCAGTATTTTTAAAAGAGACCCAGGGGATTTCAAATTGTAGCAAAATCTGGGGCCACTAACTGTAGAGACTAAAGAAGTCTGCAATCACCTCATCTACCCTCATCACTTGAAAAGCTCATAGCAAAGAGGAAAGATAAGGCCAGTCTACAGATTTTAGAATTTAAAGGAATTTAGAACATAGCTATTTTTATACGGCTTTAAAACTCACAGAGGAAATAAAATCACACTTCTGCATTGAAAGGTATGAGCTTATATGTATCTGACCTCTGAAAACTAAATATATTCTGAATAATGTATCTTTCTTCTTGGAAATATAAACTAGTGTGAAATACGTAATAATTTTAAGATTCCTGCTATATATACTTACACTTATTGACAGTGGTGTTTTAGAAAAATGTATGGCTCTGATAACTGCTTTTGTAGCTTTTTGCCAGAATTTAGGTATAAACTTGTTTGCACAAATAAAGCAAAAGTAAAGCAAATTTATTTAAAATTAACTTAGCTTCATTCAAAATATTGGCATATTTTCACAGTCTATAAATATTAATTGAAATTTTCATAATCTGATGTTTTTGGAGGATCACCCAACCAAGACCAGCTATAAGTGGAGAGTGACATCGGCAAGATGGCCAAATAAGACATCCCAGACTCATATGGTATCCACCTACAGACAAAAGTGCCTTTGTGGGAGCTGCAGGATCCAGCTCCATATGACAAGGGGCCTGGGAGGAGTCTTATACACCCTACATTGGGTAAAAGACATAGACCTCGGTCCCTGCTGTGAACCCTGAAGGTGGTTGTGAACCACCTTCTTGGCCGAGGTCTGGGAGCCCTTGGAGAATATTGATTTAGACAATCAGCTACCAACAAGAAAATCCTGCCATATGTGATGTGAATGGACCTTGAGGGCATTATGATAAGTGAAATAAATCAGAAAGAGAAAGACAAATACTGTATGATATAATTAAAATGTGGAATAAAAGAATGAACTTATAGAAACAGAGTAGAATGGTACTTGCTAGGGGCTTACAGGTAGGTGAAATTGTGGTCAAAGGATACAAACTTCCAGTTATAAGATGAGTAAGTTCTGGGGACCTAATATACAACATGGTGACTGAAGTTAACAATACTGTATTATGTACTTGAAAGTTGCTGAGAGTAGATCTTAAATGCTTTCTCCACGAAAAGGAAATGACGGTTATGTGACATGATGGAGCTACTGACTAACCCTAGTGTGATAATCATTTTGTAATATATAAGTGTATCAAGTCATTGCCATGTACACCTTAAACTTATACAATGTTATGTGTCAATTATACCTTAATAAAGCTGAGGGGGAGAAGACCAGCTGTATATCCAGCACGTAAGCCTGACATATGGCAGGTTCTCAATAGCTATTTATTGCATGAATAAAATTCTTACAGAGTTAGAGGTTTGGAGAGAATATGATACGTACATGTTACAGCTTGGTGTTCATCTGTAAACTAGGTAAAAAACAATAGTTTTCTTTTCTCCCAATAAGAATTGTCAGATCAATTTATAGTATTTCCACATTATGGGTTATGTTTCAGGGAAGAAAAAACTCTTCATTTATTAAAATATTCAAGTTAAAGATGAATTTTTAAATGTTACTAGGAAAAGCTATCCAAATATCCAGCGGACAAAATCCTTTAAGGTTTTACGGTAGTGCCATCTAATAGAACTTTCTATGACGATGGAAATGTTCTATATCTGATTGCCCTATTGGATATAGAACATGTGGTAACCAGTAATCACATGTGGCTATTAAGCCCTTGTAATATGGCTAGTGCAACAGAGGAATTGAATTTTTAATTCAATTAAATTAAAATTTAATAGCCACACGGGCTAGTGGCTACTGTAACAAAAGACACAGGTGTAATAATTCCTAGATCTAGAAATTATTCTCTTGCTATTGTTAGAGAAGACAGGTCAATCAAGCAATGTCCAAACACAATCTCTATGGCTTCATTATACCTAATGTTGGAAAAAACATTAAAGTTCTTATCAGAGCTCTACATTATTCTAAAATGCCACTGCTGATAAATGAAAATACAATGGGAAAGAAATTTTTAAATTGTTCAGATCATCTGCCCAGTCAACATTTGAAAGCCAATTTTCTTTAGATATTTGAATGATAATGAAATTTCTAAAGGAACCATCAGTGAGGTCTTGACTTTTGTATAGAGAATGTATCGTTAAATTTGTAATAATAGCTAAACCAGCTTTTTTTCTTATAAGTTGAAACAGAAAAGGATAAATTACAAAAAATTATTTGTTGTCATGTAATCTTATCTGTATTGTTCCAATTTTAGTATATATGCTGCCAAAGTGAGCACTATTTGTTGTCAAATGTGTTAATTTTCTAGAATATAGGGAGGGTAAGATCATTCAACAAATATTTGATATCTTCTACATGTAACTTCACACACACAAAAATGTTTTCCTGTCCAATCCAAGTAACAGCAAATTGATATAGAAATTTGCACGCAATAAATATTCTTAATTTATGGCAACTAAATATTCAAACCAAGGTCCCCATTTACTTCAGAATGTTGCCAAATTGTGTAGTCTTTCTTAAAGGTAGAAAGGAAAAGCAAAACAGTTATAAAATATACTGTTCTTCAGAATAAAGTAGAAAAAAAAAAAAAAAAAAAAAAAGACACCAATACCAGATCTCCAGGAATAAAAACCTCTGTAGGTGCAGTGGTAATGTCTTCTCACAATTTATTAAAAGAGATCTTCAAAACAGAGTAGCCTTTGATGGTCTTAAAGCACTCACTAGCATAGAACTAGTCATGAAATGGCCTTCTGAGTTTACCTGCAGAGAGCCCTGAAGATTTTATTGCTTTTTGTGACATTTTTTTTTTTTTCTAAAGATCTACAGTAGAGGAGTAAACAGATATATATAATATTATTATATATCATAATAAATGTGCTGTCCTGTGCTGTCTTCTTATTAAATCACACTCATTTAAAATATAGATAAAAACACTCTAGTTTTCTAACAACTGACATTGGAATGTAGCTATAAGATTCTATTCATAAATTACACATTTTATTTTATACTAATTAAGAAGAAAAGACAAACTTAAGACTCACTTGATAACCATTATCTAGATTTAAAATTACTTTAAAAAGTAATTTAATTTTCCACAGATTTAATCTAGAAAGAATTGGAATTTCTCAGACAAAACAAATCAATACTTCGTACATTTATTTCATTTACTTGCTCTACTTTGCCTAGAGCACACATAATAAAAATATCTATTAAAAATTGGTATCTTAATTCTGAAGGAAAAAAGTTTCTAAAATTATTTTTAAAATGTGCCAAAGTTCATACCTGATTTTTTAATGATGAAAGAATGTATTCCTTTTCATGGTGGGAGATTGTCTTGTGAGTTTCTGGTATATCACTAACTAACCAGATCCATAGAACAAACCAAATGATTCCAACCACACCTTAAAAAAGAAAAACAACAGTTAAATAAAATTAGAATATATCAATAGCAATTTTTACATGTCTTGAAAAAGTAACTATAAACTCAAAGTAAAATTGGCTTCAGTCTAGTTTTCCTTTTCAAGTTCCTTTTACAATTTTTTAATCTGATAACTGCTATCTGTATTATTTCCTATGAATTTTGAAGAGAACAGCTTTTAACAATATGGCTCTCCTATCAGGGTATATCAGACAAATCTTTTAAAATGTAATTTCCATAATCTATTATTTCCATAGGTATCTGTTATTGTTTATTGATTTGTTTTTTGTTCTGTTGCAGATAGATTTCTTGCATGAAATGTCTTCGTGGCCATCTAATATATTAAAAATATGTATCATCATGCTAATGAAAGGTCTTGGGACTAAATAACAGATCAAAACTATCAAGTAAAAGCATCCAACTTTGCTCGAGAAGAAATTTTTCAAAATATACATTTTTATACTATCCAACATGGTAATTTTGATAGTATGTATAATATTCAAGTCCTGGATTCAAAAGCACTTTTTATTGAGAAATAGTCCAAAACTGCTATCAGGTCATAACTCAACTAGATTATATCAACTTGAAAAACAGGTAAGTGTTTCAGAGCTTTGTGGTTTAGGAGATAATTACTTCAGTCAACTGGAATATATATTTTAACCAATTATGAGACTGCTATTAAATTCTGGATTTAATATTACATTATAATTTAGGTTGAATTTTTCAATAAACTTACCAAAAAGGTAGAAGACATAAGTCCAATTCATATAGAAGCAAATTATTCCAGAAAGAGGAAGAGAAATTACTGTTCCAAGCTGTGCTCCTAGAACAACAACAAAGACTTTATAAACTCTGGAGAGAATGCTGACCACTACTAGTTCAAGTTTAGACTTTCTTCAATAGGTAAAGGGGAACCACAGATGGCATCTGTCTTGAATTTATCATCAGATTTCTCATGTTAGTCTCTACACAGTTTCAAGAATCACCTTAAAATATAAATTGGATAATGGCTCTTTCTTGATTAAAAACCTCTGATGTCTCCCCATTGTATCTGGGAAAGAAAAAAAAAATTCTTTCCTATGGTCCGTAAGGCCTGATATAATCTGGCTCTTGTCTGTTTCTCAAAGCTCTTATACCATTATTCCCTTTTTTCATTATGTTCTAGCCACCCACAGTGGTTTTTCATTTCTCTGAACCCTTATGTATTTCCTGCCTGAGGGCTCTTCTACGTACTGTTCTGATCAGCTGGAAGGCTCTTCTTTCTGCTCTTTGCATGACTGGTTCATTCTTATTCCTCAGATTTTAGCTTAAAAGTCACTATAGAGAGGACTTTCTCAACCACTATATTTCGAAGCAGTCAGGTCAAAAAGTTTTCATTCAGTTAATGGAAGAAAGGGTAGAAGTTCTTATGTGATCCAGTAGAACTGAAATGCACACATAAAGCTCATGCTATCTCACCTACAGGTCAAAATGATGGCAAATAAATGCATAGAAGAAAGATATAAGAAAAGAGGTGTTGAGAGTTATATGTGCATGAGACAATAAAATAAGAAATCACAATTTAAGGACAAGTGTTCAATTTTCCAGACATTAGACTTTAAAAAAAAGACAGCATTCTCTATACCAACATCTGAAAAGGCAACATGTTTTGAAATAAATGATGGCAAATGAAGAAAATGACATTAGTCAATTAAGCTACACTACTATGTACAGTTGCACCAAAGAGAAAAATTAATCAAGTCATACTCCCAAAACTTAATTTTCTCCCAAAGGAGGCATCAGAAATTGCATGATTCCGGTGTGCAGTCAGTCGCTTTTTCTCCAAGGCTGATATGTGCATAACAAATTATAGTAAAAATGTTTATAATAGTCATCTCACCTGCATATGAAATGCTAAGAAGCCTGCTTCTTTCAAGAGGGGGAGCCCAAGAAGACCACATGGCATGCATGGCTGGAAATGTGACACCCTGACGAAGGAAAAACGATATTTCTGGTGAAGTATAGGTAGTTTTGTTAATGTTTTAAATTCAGTTGAGTATTTTGTTGCAAGAGAAATTTCTGGATAAGAATCAAACAAGAATTAGGTTCCACGAAGTGATGTGTCTTTACAGTGTTAAATGAAAATAACTTATGATGGAATACTTCAAAATCTGAACAAAGATTTGTGGATTTTTGTCAACTGGTTTGAGAACTACAAGGTAAGGGTTACAATAAATCTAAAAAAATGTACTGAATGATGACATAAAGGTATTTATTTCAAGGTTAATTTTACTCTTTCACTTCATTAATGGCCTGAATAAAATGTGAATGTTAGCAACACATAACTTAAAAATACTGAGCTAATACTTAGGGATACTGGAAGAAAATTCAAATGGTCTGACAAAAAAAGGATAGATTTAATTAGAGTGTTTATAGTCTGTTTTTTTCTTTCTGGTGATATCTAGCCTCATAAATATAAAGAGGCATTAAACAGAGGAGGCAGGAAGGCTCACAGAAACTTGGAAGAGAAGATGCTGCAGGAGAGTGGAAGGGCATAGGGTTTGGTATATTCAAAAGAGTGGATTCACAGCTCTATTTGGCTACTTACTAACTGTATAGCCTCAGAAAGGTCAGTTAATCTCCCTGAACTTCAGTTTCTTTATCTGTAAAACAGAAATAATACCCCCTATTTTGCATGATTGTTGTAAAGATAAATGGTAGCTAGTGCTATTATTAATGAGAGAATACATGCTTTAATACTTTGTACTTTCTGTTGATTCTTTCAAAAACAAAAAACAAAAAAAAAAAAAAGAAAGAAATACCAGTGGAAGGCAAAAATGATTTAGGCAGCATTCTAAATCAGTATGAATCTGTATCATGAAGCATCCACAGGAGGAGTCATTATAGAATAAAACTTAAAACGTTTGGTAATGTCCACAGAGATTACATTGTGGAAAACTTTATTATAAAACCCTTGAGACAATACAGGTATATTTATAGAGAATTGGATGCCAGGGCTGAAAGAAGCTGACCTAAGTTTATGGATGAGGCAATGTACATGTGATACATATTGGAGGAATAAAGAAGGACAAAAGAACCTAAGAATAAACACAACATAAATTCTATTGAAATAAAGCAGTCACTTGAGATAGCAGTAGTAATACAATCAATATACTATAATACTAAATCAATAGCATTTAGTATTGAGAAGTTAAAATATAGGAATTCATTCAGCAAGGAGTTTCAGTATCTGGGTCAGAGAAAATATTCTATAATAAAGTGTACTTTACTGAGGTAAGGAGAAGAGAAACCTGGTAATACTAGGGTAATTTTTATTTTGTAGTCAAGGGGGGTTTGTTTAGTACACTCCTATTTGATAAGGACAAAATAAGAATATTCAAATGAGTGATAAAAGCTTAAATTTAAAAAGTACTTGACAATTTCTAAAGTATTCTAGCAATCATTATTCAATCTGAGCTGTGACTGAGAATGGGGCAGGTATTTTAGTCTCAATTTTAAAAAATGATGGAATTGCGGCCTAGCGATTAGGACTTAAAGTATCACTGTTAAATACAGTGAAGCTATTATTCAAAGTCTACTTTTATGACTCTAGTTAGTGTTTTTCCAAAACAGCATTATACGTTATTACCTAACATTACCTTCATGGTCTACGCCAAATCCATTTTCTAATAATTTTCCTAATTAAAAAATAAATCCCTATTATCTTCCAATGTTAATTTTTGGTTCATATTCATACCAAAGAATGATATCTTTAAGAAGACAAGAAAGCAATATAGGGTAAAAAGAAAAACAGAAGAGAAAAACATTACCTCTCCTAGACCTTCTAGTGCTCTGAGTACAATGAGAGCTCCAACTCCGACATCTGCAGCAATGGGAGTTAACAGGGTGAAGACAGTAGTGCCGAGGACTCCAAATCCTAGCAGCAGTTTCCCCCCCATTTTTCTGGCAATATATCCTCCAGGAATTTGTGTGATGATGTAGCCATAAAAAAAAGAACCAAGAATCCATCCTTGAGTTTCTGCATCCCAGTGGTACCTCTTACCCTATAAAGAGTAGGAAGAAAAAAAAATCAACCTTTTAAGACATTGATTAAACAGCTCCTTTAACTTATTGGCATGTAAGTACATATGAATATAATTTAGAACCATTGTTTTAGGCTACAGAACATGCAAGCTTTCTACAAGGTATCTGAATCACATGATACAGAAATGGAGTTTCTAGAAGTAAATGGAAATTAACTGATTCCCTGACCCCCAACATCTTCTTTCATCTTCAGCTGAAAATGGTATTTAAGGTGGTAGGTTTAGCCATGTTGGTGTTAGTCAGTTTTCCTGGGTCTCTCCTATGTATATAGGAAGTATACATGCTATTAAACTTTTATTGGTTTTTCTCCTGTTAATCTCTATTTTATTACAAGAATGTCTAGCTGAGAACCCAGAAAGGTAGAGGGAAAATTATTTTTCTTCCCCTACAGAGCAATAGGCTATGCCACATGGCCTAGGTGCGTAGTAGGCTACACCATCTAAGTTTGCGTAAGTGCATTATATGATGTTTGCACAATGACAAAATCGCTTAATTATGCATTTCTCAGAATGAATCTCTGTTGTTAAGTGGCACATGACTGTATTTAAAGTGTGTAAAACTCAATTCTGAACAAATGATGAACACACACTTATCAACTCTACTATAACACAAGGCAGGCAAAATAACTTTAATAACTCAGGTTAGGCAACCATACATTTTGGAAAAGAATATACTAAGAAATTGACTTGATCTTATTTTTCATCCTGCAGTTGAGATTATCTATACTCTCCTGCAACAAGTAGCCTTATAAGAAAATAGTGATTAAATAATAGTCCCATAAAAACTATTTAACAGCATCTAAAACAATCAAATTTTCTGATATGAGGGAGGAAGAAATTTTCTTCTTCCCTCCTAGGTTTTCCAGCTGGTCTAATAATTAAATCTACATGAGACACATTAACAAGAAAAAATAACCAAATTTAATTATATACTTATGTAAGAGAACCCCATATACATGAGAGAGTCAGGGATGGAAAGGAAAAATGAGGTATATGTGACCTTTTGAACTCAGGATAAGGTAAGGCACCTTGGGGCTTCAGAGGGGAGGAAGGTCAATGTAGGATAAGAAGAACAGATGTTTAGTAATTAGAAGTTAGCCCCGCCCTCGAGATTGATCATAAAACTATTTCTAGTTGTCACTCTTTTTATCAAGTTGTCGCTCTTATTAAGACCCTTAATTTAAATTATTTAAGGGAGATATAAAAGTTTCTGAGGCTGCAGCTCAAAATCACATGCCGAAGTGACACATCTTAGGGTGGCCTGTTCCGAACTCCTTCAGTCCTGCCTTTGAAACTTCCTGAGAGGTTTCACATTCCATAAGTTGGGTGGAAAGATTGTTCTGTATCTCATTAAACTAATCTCAGTCTTAAAAATAGGTCAGTTCAGTTAAGCAGTTTTCATTTCATTTCAGGACCTGGCAATGCCAGTGGGTTCCCAAAGTTAGGCCTATGATACAAGCAATCAGGTATTTAATAAGAGGTATCCCTATGGAAACAAAAGAAAAAACGATGGTTAATGATTGAAGCAGACTATAATCCCAATTTCTGAGGTCTGAAGGCAGGCAGTCAAGAAGATTTTTAGATGTCTAGCTTGAAGCATCTTCAGATGAAGTGAAGGCAAGCAGTGACAATATGATAGATTTTCCTGGTTTCAAGTTTGAATGTCTCTGGTGATCTTTCTGCAACAGGCATGAAGATTGTCCAAATGTGAGCTGTTGAGGCGATTCCTCTGAAGTTTGTATCAGGTTGTCCCACTTGCATGGCTTTGGGAAAAGGGCAGTTTTAGTTCTCAGTTGCAAGTCACAGGATAGGAGAAAAACTGGAAACATTAGCTTGGAGAGTCATAGACAGCTATTAGAGAAAACTAGAATTCATGATCCAGTCCAGTTTACAGGTAAGAACAAAATCTCAAAAGACAATGAATAGCACTAGAATTGAATATCCACAGAGATGTATTACTGAAACATAATTTTTTCTCTCTGTAATCACTCTCATTTTTACCAAAGATAGGCAAAGTAAGACTGATTTATTTGCAAAATAAGTCGCTTCAATAAATTTGGTCTGATTATTTGTGTAAGTCCAACAAGGATAGTAATGAATAATATAGGCTCTTTTAAATTCGGAATTTTTCATAAGGAGTCTTCAGATTGAATTTAAAAGGCCAGAAAAGCCAAGGCACGGACTTGCCATCAGAGGTCGCCTATAATACCTACAGATTTAGGTGAGTTCTTTTTTCGAGGTCCCTAAAATATCTCGAGGTTCTTGAACCAGCCAGGAAGTGACCTTCTTTATTCACCTGGTAAGGCTGCTGGGAACCCTGTAAACAAGATACCAGGCAGATATTTCCAAGGTTTTTATTGGCTTCCATATGTCAATCTTAATTCTTTAAAGCTGTCTAGTCATAGCTGAGTCTATGCACGTCTCTCTTAAATACGACATCCCAGTCAAAAGCTTGGAAATATAACCAGTTTCCATTTGTGTCCTGTTTCATGAACAGATTCTTATTAAACTTATACAAATAACAATATTGCCATGAAAATGAGGATACTGCTAGCACTTTCCAAATTCTGGTCCTGGACTTCTGTTTCTTCTAGGTTATTGAACTTGGTGGTGTCTAGCCTTTCATAATATTCTTGTATAATTCTTTGTACTTCTGTGGTGTCCGTGTTAACTTCTCTTTCATTTCTGGTTTTATTTATTTGAGTCTTTTCTCTTTTTTCCTTAATGAGTCTAGTCAGAGGTTTGTCAATTTTGTTTATCTCTTCAAAGAACCAGCCCTTTGTTTCATTAATTTTTCCTATTGTCTTTTTATTCTCTACTTCATTTACTTCTGCTCTGGTTTTTATTTTTCCTTCCTTCTACTGACTCTGGGCTTCGTTTGTTCTTCTTTTTCTAGTTCTTTAAGGTGTAATGTTAGATTTTTTGAGATTTTTCTTGTTTCTGAGGTAATGCTACAAACTTCCCTTTTAGTATCACTTTTGCTGCATGCCACAAATTTTAGTATGTGGCATTGTCATTTTCATTTGTTTCTATGTATCTTTTGATCTTTTATTTCTTCTTTGACCCAATAGTTGTTCAACAGCACGTTGTTTAATCTCCATATACATGTTTTTCCAGCTTTCTTCTTGTAGTTAATATCCAGTTTCATTCCTTTGCAGTCAGAAAATATTCTTGGTTTGTTTTCGATTTTCTTAAATTTATTGCGACCGTCTGTCATTTGGGGATGGAAATTCTATAAATATCAATTAAGTTCATTTGCTCTAATGTGTCATTTAAGGCTGATACTTTCTTGTAGACTTTCTGTTTGGATGATCTATCCATTGCTGACAATGGAATATTCAGGTAACCTACTATAATTATATTTTTGTCAGTTTCTCCTTTTAGGTCTGTTAGTAATTGCTTTATTTTGGTGCTCCCAGGTTGGATGCAGATATGTTGATAAGTTATGTCTTCTTGATGAACTGTCCCTTTAATCATTATAAAGTATCTATCTTTGTCTCTTATTACCTTTTTTTTCCTCTCTTAAATTCCCCCCCACCCCCACTCACTTCCACTCCTGACCTATGGATGTTGCCATTTCTCTTTTTTAAGAACTGAATCTCTGAAGGTAGGGTGTCTCCTCCCACATGCTCGCGGCATGCACCTGGGGCCTGGCGCACCCCGGGTATGGTCCGTGGCTCCATCTGGGGCATGAACCCAGGACCTTCTGGGTGTAAAGCAGACGTGCTAACCATTACACTATGGAGCCACCCTCTTATTACCTTTTTTATCTTGAAATTTATTTGTCTGACATAAGTACTGCTATACTCGCTTTTCTCTGGATGCCATTTGCTTGAAGTGTCATCTTCCACCCCTTCCTTTTGAGCCTGTTTGTTTTTAGAACTAAGATGAATCTTCTGCAGGCAAAGTATAGTTAAATTTTGTTTTTTAATCTATTCCACTACTCTGTGCCTTTTTATCAATAAGTTCAGTCCATTTATATTTAGAGAGATTATTGAAATATAAGGACTTACTACAGTCATTTTATCTTTTGTTTTCTGGTTGCTCTGTATCTCTACTGTTTCTTTCCCCTCAGATTCTATCTATTTTAGTTCGGCAGTTTTCCATGATTTTTGAATGTTTTCTCTTTTTTTGTTTTTTGTCTCAGTTCTGGATTTTTGTTTTGTGGTTACTTTCAGGTCTGTGTAAAATGTCTCATACATACAATAGTCCTTTTACTTCTGATTGACCTTCATCTTCATTCATCCGTTCAATCCTTTTCCATGAGTACTCATACCAGATAACCAAGAGTCACTAAGCCCGAGAAACTTGTTTCACAAATATTTTCTCCTGCTAATCTAAATTTAGATTAGGAAAAAAAGAACTCTCACCACTTTGCTTCCACTGAACTCTGCAGGTAGAGATCCAGGCGTCTGACTTTGCAAGAATTCTTATCTTCTTTTTTCCTGGCTCATGTTAAAAATCCTGAAATCTTTCTACAGCAGTAGCTTCAAGGTGAGCAGTGCCCAGCCGGTGATATATTCTGTTCATAGTGCAAATTGTGTGGGAGGAAGAAATTTTCCTCTACCATCAAGATTCTTTTGACTGGACTAATAATTAAATCTATATGAGATAGATTATCAAGAGAAAATAACCAAATTTAATTACATACATATAAATGAAAACTCTGTATACGTGAGAGGTTCAGAGACAGAAAGGTAAAATGAGATATATATGGCATTCTGATCTAGGGATTAGGTAAAGTCCCAGAGGAGAGGAAGGTCCCTGCAGGACAATAAGAAAAGCAGATGTTCAGTAATTAGAAATTTGCCCTGCCCTACAGCTAGATCACAAAAAGTTACTTCTGCTGATAACTCTTATTTGGGGCAAGGCCCCTAATTTAAATTCTTTAAGGGAGAGGTAAAAGTTTCTCCTGAGCCTGTAGGGTCTTGATTGCCTTCAGCTCAAAATAATTCACATGCCAAAATGGCACACGTTGGGGATGCCAATTCTGAACCCCTTCACTGGTATGCCAAACAGGTTTTTCCAAAGTTTCTTCAAAGATGATATGTTTATAGAGAAAATGACAACTTTTCAAACAGATCAAGGCATATTACACACACCACACACATCACGACACAGCAGCAATAGCTATAGTTATAAGTTGCTGTCCAACCGGTTCCTGAGAAAACACAAAAGAAAGTGATTCAGAGTGTACATGAAGAAAGGTCTGTAGTTTCTATAGGAAGAAGAAAGACCTTTCAATATTTTTATGTAAATGAATTTTAGGATTAAGATTGTTTGCTTAAAAACAAGTACTTACGGTTTGATTATGGAGAACTTTATTGGAAGCAGAATGCTCTGTACACTCCTTGGAAGTTCTATTATCTATTAAAGTTGTATTTGAATCTACCATATCCACTAATGCAACACTCAGATTCACACGTAATGCATAGAGAACGAAGAAACCAAAAAAGGCCAAAACTGCTAAGTTGTAACGAGCAGAGCAGCACACTGGAGCTGAAACAAAGATTGGGGAAAAATTTTGTTAAAAGAATAACCAGAAAAATAATAACTTAGGTGATATTGTCTAAATCAGTAAAAGGTTACTTTTTAGAAGTGTACAAATTAATAAATCATGAATACTTTTCTGAGAATATTAAGCATATCTAAAAACATTTGTCAAAAAAGATTTGTTCCCAGTTTTTAAGGGAGAGGTATCTGTAGTTTTGATAAACATTTAACACCTGAGAGCCTGCATTGTTAAGTAGTTTCTTAAAACAAGGAGGCAATAGCTTTATCAACTTTGCTTCGAAAAATTTCCAACCCAAAGTCAATACTGAACCCCTAATCCCTGTCGGCTTGCAAAGATATGAAAAAAATAGGTAAGGGGGTTTAATGGCATCACTATTTTTAAAAAAGCTATCAGAAACATGGCCAATAAGCACTTGAGTACTTACTACAACATAGCATGTATATACCACTGACTATAGGTCAGTAACTATCTTATTGTAAATGTAGCACAGCACAAAAAATTTACTGCTGAGGATAGGGCATGAACCCCTTTTTAATAAATTTCTTATCTTGAAACATATCCTCAGAGGCTGGGTTTGAATCAAATGCTGTGATTAATAATTAAGGCTCTCCTAAACTAAATGTATTTAAGAATCCAGAAGCAGACTTGCAGAATCTATGACAGCTGCAGCATCTGTGACAGTTACTCAGTTGACCATGCTTAAAGGGTCCACAGCCATAAGTGAATGAACCACAATGACCAAAAAAAAAAAGGAAGGCAGAGTAGGTTGGAGGAACTAATGAGAGAAGATCATGAGAGAGGAGTTTGACTTATTTTTAACTCTAATTGCAGCTTATGCACATATTTTCTTCTTTTATTGAGTTGCATAATGGATGAGGAAATGGGAATTCAGGAAGGGTAACTGACTCCTTAGCGACAAAGAGAAAATGGCTACTTCAGGGTTTTACATCTTTAGGTTTGGTAAACACTGAGAGTTTGATAAGTATCTGTTTAAAAATATATTTCATTTGGTGATGACAAGTTAAATACATATATACACACGTGTGTGTCTGTATGTATGTGTGTGTGTTTTCCCCTACTCAGGAATCCTGGTGTTTTCACTGACCTAATCTCAAACAAGAATACAAAGGTTTTGGCGCTGATTCAAAATGACTAATTCATGGTGAAGCGTTAACGAATAGGGCACAGCGACACTTAGGTACATATTAATATAATAATAACCCAACTCACTTTTCTATAAGTCCACAGGTACATAAACAACTGCTATCATTTTTCCACTGGGCAAGATTTACATCTTTTGAGAGAGAACTTTCCATTTGGCATGCAGTAAACATGAGTTCCTTTCCTGTTAACTCTGGAGAAAGTTATGACAATAAGATAAAGTGCTACAATATATGTATAACAAGGGACAAAAGAGTCACATTAATCTGCGTGTGTCTGTGTGAACTATTATTAATTATTACTGCTTTTTCTGGATAGTAGGAATTGAGGTTATTTATCATTTGTGAGAAATTAGGGATTGGTAAAAGTAGTAAGAAGTTGTCAGAGAGTGGAGGTGTGACGTTTCCAGGGAAACATACACGATTGCCAAGTCAGTACACACCCATAAAAAACTGGTGGGAACAATCTGTCTTAGTGTGTGATATTGAAAAACTGCACACTTGTGCTCAGAGGTAGGCACTAGGGAAGACGATAGGGCACTGTGATGGAGGTGGTGACAAAGCATAGGGCAAATGAATTTAAAGTACTGGCAAGAAAATAAAGTGTTGGACTGTGATTCTGATCCAAGAAAAAAGTAAAATGGAGATGGCTAATGGTTTAGGAAAATGCACACTGGAATATAAAAGCTCTGTGAGGACAGGAGAGAAGGAACTTGGAGTCCAGAGAACTGATGAGTCATGGTATTGGATGAGAAGTCACTCAAGATGATGGCAGGATTTAGAGTGTAGAAGATGGAGATGTGTTGGGTGGCAAAGCCTTTGATGAATGAAGCAAAGTGCCAGGAAGTGGGTAGGAGACACACAACGTAGGGGAAAATTAGTGTAGTCCAAAGTCATTGAGAGTGGAAAGGTAATTGTAAGTATCTATGTGGAATAAGGAGGAGTCAATCCCATCAATTAACACATGGCAAGAGAAAATTATCACCCCTTGAGAGAGTAGTGGGGAATGAGAATGGTATGCCCAGGTCAGGCTTCTGTTGAAGCAAGCAGGTGCAGGTGGTGAGGCAAGGCTGGTAAAAACCTGAGGATATCAGGCATTTATTCGCTTCTGAAGGGTTTGCAATAAAGAGGTATAGGCCTGGGTGAGGAGCAAGTAGATACTGAACAGTGAGGGGCTGAGGCTGAGATGGAAAACCCAGGGTTAAGGGCACTGACCTAAGCAAAAGTGATGATGACTTTTTTAGAGGAGGATGGGCACTAGCCCTAGTGAGCCTCCTTGGCCAGGGAATTGCTTTAAAAAAAGATTTCCTATCTAAAATGGATAAAATGAGTTTTATCCTACCTGGTCTTATCCTACCTTAGGTATTTAATTTCTGATAAACTCTTATCTATTCGTAGCTTCTGAATTAATATTCATTTACATGAACACATCAAATTCCATTAAAATGGACTCAGTTACTTTAATATTAAAACTGATTTTCACCACATGACCTAAGGCTATTTCCCTTCATTCTGCAATATGGTTGCTCTCTAACAACACACCATGCCCATATCTTATATTTAAGACTATACTCACATACAAAGCATATTTGTGAAACTCAATGCTTGTGTAACTGAATACTGAATGTAAACCACCCTGAAAAGAATAGATGCAACCCCTCAAAAAAACCCCAAAACAAAACCAATAAAAACAAAACAAAGGATGTACCATTTTAAGTTAGAAAATCACAAGTTTCTATAGAGTTTGACAGTGAAGAATGGGGTCCTCATTTTGTGGTGCCCAGATTCTCTGAGGAATACAAAATCCAAATGATCTTCATTGATGATGATGATGATGATGATGATGAAGATAATGATAATATTAATAACTAACACTTATTATGTGCCAAACTCTATTTTAAGCACTTTCTATTAGTTTATTTAATCTCCACAATAACCCTATGAATCAGATAGATTATCTTCTCTAATTTATAAATAAGGAAAGCATAAGAGGTTAAGTAATTGCCAAACTCACACAGCTAGTTAGTGCATCTGGGATTGGCAATTAGGCACTGTGGCTCCAGATCTGTGGTCTATCCTTAAACATAAATATCTTAGAAGATCTAAAGCTGATTTCTCCAACAAAAATAAGCATATTTTTGATGCAACATTATTTTGAAAATCCACTTAATTGAATACATGATACATCTCATTCCTACAAAAGTAAACCTTCATTGGTGGAAAGTGTGAGGAATAAAGAATTTTTATGTGAGAGGGGAAGCTTCCTTGACTAATTCCTTCCCTTCCTTCTATCTCAATGGGGCAGAAAAATCTATAGACTTCCTGTTGTTTATCAGCATTGAGCCACCCTTCCCCCATCATTTTGGTGTGCACCTCCGAAATCCACCAGGCTAAGTACTAAAACCAAATGCTTAGAGGTAGGGTTACTGAGAATTCTGTCATATTATATCAACCTGAGAGGTACTAATTCCTAACACTAAAGAAACATATCCTAATTTAAGCTCTCTCAATAAAGAAACACTATGCATACTTTAAAACCATGTCCTCTTATTCATGGTCGAGTGGGGAACTTTTACATTTGTGAAGGGTTAAGTAAAAATGATTAAGCATTTTGCAAATAGGAATTTCTTTGATATAACACTAATGTTGCAGTTTTACATCAAGGAGGGAGGCTGGGACTAAAATCCAAGAGAACTCTGAGGTTAGTCCTTAATAGAGCTAAATGCAATCTTTGGGAATTTAACTTCTTTGGCCTTCAAGTATTTCTACATAAAATCATGTGCCACCAGATGGTCGTTAGTTTCTAAGGTCTTTTAAGTGCTATAAAATTTTACAACTGACATTTTATCAGCCTTTCTTTAAAATCAAAACTATTCACTTAGGCATAAATAAGGTACAGCTAATTTCATATCAGTTTGTTTCAGAAACAAATGTAAAATAAAAATAAAATGTACATAAACATATGCACCGACCTTAGAGACTGTCTGATCATAATTGATGCTCATTCTGATAAAAATCAGCACTCTTCCCCTGCCTCCTGCTACATGCTGGTTCCTGGAACAGGCCATTGTCCTGACCCAGTCAAGTATGTAAAACGTTTGTACCTGGGACTGGTCACTAAAGGTACCTGTGACTACCCCATCCTGTTCTATATAATTTTCTGGCAACTACCAAGCAGCACAGGGATCCATTTCATCTTGTAGCCACCCAAAACGTGCCTCTGATGTAAGTTTCCCTTAGTAAACTCTATTAATTACCAGACTGGAGTGACTAGCCTAATTCTTCAGTCTTTCCATGCCCTGTGCTTAGGGAGGTAGATTTTCAGTCCCAGGACCTTTCCCTAAGTCTGAATATACTGACATGGATGGGAAGTTGTCCTTTATTTTTTATTAAAAAAAATTTTTTAAACACCCATACTTTCTTGAACATGCAAAGTGGATATACAGAACATAATTTAATTTAAAAATATAACTAAGGGTCATATCATTTCTCCTATCAGATTGTATGTGGTAGATATTATTACTAAAGCTAGGACAAGGGGCACTACTGAGAATGAGAGTAAAAGGAGGCCCCTGGCACCTCTTATAAAGTTGTTATACCCATCTTTACCTTTTCCATCTCTCTTTTCCTGGTGCTCCTTTCTTGTCCTCCTGCTCACAGCATCCCAGACAAAAAGCTTAATTTAAAATATTGTTGACTAATGCAAGATCCTATAATTGTAGGCTCCTCTTCCCTAGAACATTTATTCTATTTTAAATAGAAAAAAAAAAAAAAAGCGT